GGAAGGCATCTCTCAGACTCTGTCTGCCCTTCTCCTGTATCTCTGCTTGGATTTCCAACCTAGCTCTATCCTGCCTTGTCATGGGCCAAAGGAGCTTTATTTATCAACCAATGAGAGCAACACATATTCACAGCATATAGAAGGACATCCCACATCACAGACATACTATTGAAATCCAACAGCCATGCATTCTCAATGCCTTGTGTACACAGGTCCTACCATATTTAGTCCTTAAAAATAAGTTTGCTACATAATTTAAAGTATCTTTTGTTTTTGTTTGTTTTCAAGATGGGGTCTCTCTGGGCAGCCTTGGCTGGCCTGGAACTTACTTCTGTAGACCTGGCTGGCCTTGAACTTACAGAGATCCTCCCATCTCTACCTCCCAAGTGCTGGGAATAAAGGCGTGCGCCACCACCTCCTGGCTTAAAGTATCTTTTAAAACCCACTGGGTTCTGTAGGACTCAGTCCGACTCCTCTTACTTTAGTAATACTCTGTGTATGGCTTGCTGTGGTTTGACTCTGAGATCTCCTCTCTCAGGCTCAAGGTTTGAATGCTTGTTCCCAAGCCGGTGGCTCCATCCTGGGGACTGTGTAACCTTTGGAAGATGCACAGCTGGTGGAAGTCGATCCCAGGAGGCGGCCTTAGAAGGGAACTACCTGGCACACACGCCCAGTTCTTGTCTGCTTCTCGGTTCCCCGTGTTAAAAACCCGCCTTTGCTGTTCTCCCCCACAACAGACAGGCTCTGCCTTTCTCCCTGTGTTGGACTCCATCCCCCTGAAACTGTGCGCCAGCTTGAGAGCCCTTACACTGCTCTGTCGGGCGCTCTTTCGCAGTGTCACGTGACTGTCCTACTTACTGTCCTATATATTCAGTTAGTGTCATGGATGGTGACTGATGGATTTTCCTGATAATCAGAGCAGGATTCAAGGAGAAGGGGGTTTTGATCTTCAGAGGCCACAGCATCTTCTCCTGTTAACTGGAAGATGCTGCTGCTGGTCTACACCTCCTGGTGCTGCTGAGATCTTGACATTTAACATGACAACCCAAGAACACACTTTCTTATTCGCTGAGAGAACCCAAGTCACCGGTTCTGCTTGCTGAAAGATCTCAAGAGCAAGCCCCTTGTTACTTCAAGAACCTTGCTAGAATGTGGGACTATCTCTACGTATGGCCTCATGAGGGTCTAGTATGTAATTCTTACCGTGTGCTCCACTCTACCCTCAAGAGGTCCTGGCAAAGAGCTTCCACCTCTGCTTTAAATAATTTAAATTCAGGCTTGAATTTGGTGCCCAAGCATCAGCTTCAAAGGATGGATATGACTAACATACCCACCTTTCAAATAAACTTAGAAAACAACCTAAATGCAGGTGTCTCCCCAAATCTCCATTTTCAGAGTCACTATGTGTTCATTTACCGTACCTGTATTTTCTGCTCTAGCTAGTTCAGCTAGCTGGAAGACGTGGGTACAGAACTAAGCCGAGAGATCCTTCTTGGTCCAAACACTTAAAAGACCCTACTTACCAGCGGTCACGAGGAGGGGGGACACGGGGGCG